CGCTGAGCAAGCCCAGCGACAAGGAACAGCACCTGCTCATGGCGCTGGTGGGCGAGCAGGGTGAGCCTGGCGGGGGGCTGGGGGGAGGGAGGGGACGGGGGGCACAGGGGCCCCGGAACCGGAACCCCAGGGCGACCGTGTACATTCACCAGCTCACGCCTGTCAATCCGGCGCTCTGGGAGGCCGAGGAGGGAGGATCGCTCAATGAGGTCAGGAGTTGGAGGCCAGCCTGAGCAAGAGCGAGACCCCGTCTCTACTAAAAACAATGGAAAGAAATGAGCCGGACAACCAAAAATAGGTAGAAAAAAAAAAAAAAAAAAAAAAAAACGAGCCGGGCGTGGAGGCGCATGCCTGGAGTCCCAGCTACTCGGGAGGGAGGCCGAGGCGGGAGGCTCGCTCGAGGTCAGGAGGTTGAGGCCAGCCTGAGCAAGAGCGAGACCCCGTCTCTACTAAAAAAATAGAAAAAAATTACCCAAACAACTAAATATATATATAGAAAAAACGAGCCGGGCGTGGAGGCGCATGCCTGTAGTCCCAGCTACTCGGGAGGGAGGCCGAGGCGGGAGGCTCGCTCGAGGTCAGGAGGTTGAGGCCAGCCTGAGCAAGAGCGAGACCCCGTCTCTACTAAAAAAATGAGAACGAAATTAATCGGACAACTAAAAAAATATAGAGAAAAAAACGAGCCGGGCGTGGAGGCGCATGCCTGGAGTCCCAGCTACTCATGAGGGAGGCCAAGGCAGGAGGATCGGTCGAGGTCAGGAGTTCAAGGCCAGCTGTAGCAAGAGCGAGACCCCCGTATCTACTAAAAGTAGAAAGAAATGAGCTGGACAACTAAAATTATATAGAAAAATGTAGCCGGCCGTGGTGGCGCATGTGTGTAGTCCCAGCTACTCGGGAGGGAGGCTGGGGCAAGAGGATCGCTCAAGGTCACGAGGTCGAGGCCGGCCTGAGCAGGAGCCAGACCCCATTTCCACTTAAAAAAAAAAAAAAAGAGAAGAAATGAGCTGGACAGCTAAAAATATATACAGAAAAAAATGAGCTGGGCGTGGTGGAGGCCGAGGCGGGAGGATCGGTCGAGGTCAGGAGTTGGAGGCCAGCCTGAGCAAGAGCGAGACCCAGTCTCTACTAAAAAATTACAAATAAATTAATCGGCCAACTAAAAATATATATAGAAAAAATTACCCAGGCGTGGTGGCGCATGCCTGCAGTCCCAGCTACTCGGGAGGGAGGCTGAGGCAGGAGGCTCGCTCGAGGCCAGGAGTTCGAAACCAGCCTGAGCAAGAGCGAGACCCCGTCTCTACTAAAAATAGAAAGAAATTAATTGGCCCAATAAAAATATATAT